CATTTATGTCATTGATACTAACAGTGAGGCACTATTCCTTCCACTGACACTAATGATGGGGCACTATTACTTCCACTGACACCAATGATGGAGCACTCTTCCTCCCACTGACACCAATGATGGAGCACTCTTCCTTCCACTGACACCAATGATGGAGCACTCTTCCTCCCACTGACACCAATGATGGAGCACTATTCCTCCCACTGACACCAATGATGGGACACTATTCCTCCCACCAATACCAATTATGATACACTATGGTAGATAATCATTATTTATAAGGACATCTGCACCATGTATAATGTTATTGATATGTGAAGGTATACTTATGAATCAATTCTTGATATAGGTCTGAGGGAGCTTCTCTTCTTCCTGTAAATTTACTACTCACCTGGTTTACAAGAAGAAAAGTATTTTAGTTACAGTACAGAATTAATGGTTGCTTACCAGGTGTGCATGTGTGTTGGTCTGGGCTACAAAGTAACAAAAACAAAAAAAAAGTACAAAACGAACAGAAAGTGCAACAACATAGTGTAAAATCCTGAACAAACTTTTATTAAAAGAAATCTCTTGTACTCACAAAGGTACAAAGGTATTTAATATAGGGGCATATCGCACAAAATCCAAGGTCTCTCAAGTCAATAGGCATAGGAGTCCGACTCTTGAACCCTCGTGACCAACATAGTCAATCTTGTATAACAGCTTACGCATTTGGGTCAGAGTTCTGATGAAGAGGGTGTGCCCTCGAAATACATAAGCCATTACACATGACAGAGGCAGTGCCTAGGTTGGTGACAAGGGTCCAAGAGGCGGAAATCTGTGCCTATTGGCTTGGGAGATCTTGAAATGTTTGGATTCTATGTGATATGCACTTGCACTATATTACCAAAAGTTTTGGGACGCCTGCCTTTACACGTACATGAACTTTAATGGCATCCCAGTCTTAGTCCATAGGGTTCAGTATTGAGTTGGCCCCGCCCTTTGCAGCTATAACAGCTTCAACTCTTCTGGGAAGACTATCCACAAGGTTTAGGAGTGTGTCTATGGGAATGTTTCACCATTCTTCCAGAAGTGCATTTGTGAGGTCAGGCACTGATGTCGGACGAGAAGACCTGACTTGCAGTCTCCACTCTAATTCATCCCAAAGGTGTTCAATCGGGTTGAGGTCAGGACTCTGTGCAGGCCAGTCAAGTTCTTCCACCCCAAACTTGCTCATCCATGTCTTTATGGACCTTGCTTTGTGCACTGGTGTGCAGTCATGTTGGAACAGGAAGGGGCCATCCCCAAACTCTTCCCACAAAGTTGGGAGCATGAAATTGTCCAAAATGTCTTGGTATGCTGACGCCTTAAGAGTTCCCTTCACTGGAACTAAGGGGCTAAGCCCAACCCCTGCAAGACAACCTTACACCATAATCTCCCCTCCACCAAACTTTACACTTGGCACAATGCAGTCGGGCAAGTACCATTCTCCTGGCAACTGCCAAACCCAGACACATCCATTGGATTTCCAGACAGAGAAGCATGATTCATCACTCCAGAGAACACATTTCCACTGCTCTAGAGTTCAGTGGCGGCATGCTTTACACCACTGCATCCGACGCTTTGCATTGCAATTTTTTGATGTAAGGCTTGGATGCAGCTGCTCGCTCATGGAAACCCATTCTATGAGCTCTCTACACACTGTTGTTGTGCTAATCTGAAGGCTGCATGAAGTTTGGAGGTCTTTAGCTATTGACTCTGCAGACAGTTGGCGTCTTCTGCGCACTGTGTGCTTCAGCATGCGCTGACCCCGCTCTGTCATTTTACGTGGCCTACCACTTTGTGGCTGAGTTGCTGTTGTTCCCAGTTGCTTCCACTTTGTTATAATCCCACTAACAGTTGACCGTGGAATATTTAGTAGCAAGGAAATTTCACAAATGGACTTATTGGACAGATGGCAACCTATCACGGGACCACGCTTGAATTCACTGAGCTCCTGAGAGCGACCCATTCTTTCACAAATGTTTGTAGAAGCAGTCTGCATGCCAATGTGCTTGATTTTATACACCTGTTGCCATGGAGATGATTGAAACACCTGAATCCAATGATTTGGAGGGCTGGCCCAATACTTTTGGCAATATAGTGTATATCAAATGGCTTTATACTTTGTGTGCTCTCAGCTCTCAACAGAGACCCCTGCTGCAATGGACACATATGTGCGGCTGGAAGTAGGGTGAGCTTTAACGACCATACGCTGCACATATGTGTCCATTTCTGTGATGGTTCAGCCACTGTGCTGGGAGTGGGCAGTGAGTACACTTTCAGCACAGATTTCTTGGCTGCAATGGACGCATATGTGTGGCATGTGGATATTAAGGCCCAAACTTTTTGTCACATTACGTGGTTGGAAAGAGGGATCAAATCTTAGTAGCATGTTTAGTGTGACTTTCATGTGAAATGATAGAAAGGGGAATGCGGGCCCTTTAGTACAACAGTATGAATGGTCAGATTAGGTTTTGGGCGTCTCAGTAAGATATTTCTTTGAATGGTGCTATATGGGTCCTGTTCTGGCCGGCAGTCAGAACCCAACCTTTTGCCTATGGTAGTATATGGCGGCCAATTATCAGTAGAGTGAGCCGTTGTATGTAAAATATCTAGTAACAACTTTTACACATCTATAGGACTTTGACATGATGTTTATTGCAGATGAATGTTAGCTGTTGTTTATAAGGAATGTATACGGGATTTCTGGATATTTTCTTTAACCCTCTGAGGACCGTAAGATTTTGGAACGCCAAAAGAATCAATTGTTTTGTTTTTAAAGTTCGTACACTTCAGCTGCTGTAACTAAGCCATTTCATGAAATAATTGGCAAAAAGCTAGATCCATTTGTTGTTTGTTGATAAGAACTAAAATTTTGACTCAAACCAAAAAAAAAAAAAGAGTTCTAAGTTCTTAATCAGATGATACAGGCAATTAAAAACATGGGACAAATACGTCCCTTGGTCCTCAAAGGGTTAATTCAAGGTCAGTACTAAAATAAATGTTTAAATATGTAATTTTACATGGAAGAATCTGTATCAAAATTAAGACCAGCAAACTGATTAGATACATATTTAAACAATATATACATAGGAACTGTTTTACCTTCAAATGGACTTGTAAATCTTAGAGACAGACTGGATGGACCATTTGGTAATATTCTGCTGTCAGTCCTCGATGTCTTGTGATCTAGGCACCCCTGTCAGACAGCACAGCCAGGGACTGTGTGTGTGTGTTATGTCCATGTTTCCGATTGATGCTTTGTATTGTCCGTGTGATGCTTTGTATTGTATATATGTAATGAGGTGCCTTTCAGAATGAATGGGAACACACATGTACAGCATGTTGTAGTGCACTGCAGTAACACACAGTGAAAATGAGAGGTTTAATACATGTATTCTTGTGCATCTTGTAGTGCAAAGCAATTTATCTGCTGCGATGGCTGGCCCTTCTTCTCCCAATGCATCTGCTGCTGTACAGGGGGTTATAGGAGGCTAATATCAAGTGTGACCCATGTGCTTGTCTTTATATATGGAAGTTTAAAATAGATTGTCTAAATTTTACTCAGCCGCTTCTCTGGCTCTGCTTACAGTCTTGTTCAGTAAGACAGAAAAAAGAGCAATGGCAGCAATTAGCACCTTCTGCTTTCAGGCCTTTGGAAGGGGATTGTGCAGATCTAAATAAAGTGCAAACTTCTCTTCTTTTCAGTTTCCCCATCACTTTTGTATGGGTGAGGCTTTGAACAGAGTTTATGTGTCCTGTCTTTAAAAGATAAGATGGTGCAGTTTTATATGGCATCACGCAGTAATGAAATTAAATATTTTATATTTTTGTAGATTGCTATATCCTTTGTTTAAGGCCTGTTCACATTGTAATGCACTGCGCTGGGCAGCCTTGTTCATTACAGTCCACTGCATAGACAAGTGGGCCATGGCCTCCCTCCTCCCAGGCCTCCAGCAAGCTGCAGATCCCCAACCTCTCACAGTGCCTCCTAACCTTCTATAGTGGCCCACAGTGCCCCTCAACCCCTCACAGTGCCCCCGGTCTCTTATGAGCCCCCAGTCCCCACATGGCATAGACAAGGCAACTAGTCTTGTGTCCTGTGTGTTCAGTTCACTATAAAAAAGTAATGCATGTGGTAATTGTTGTCACCGCAGCGTGTTTGGACACACTACACCACATCTCAACACATAAAGGTGAGTGAAATGTTGTTGTTGCCAGCTGTGTCCATATTGTGGAGATTTTCCCTCATTTCCTGTCAGGACAGGAAGTGAAGAATATTCTTTCAACACAGGCGCCATTCACATTATCAGTTGCATTAACCACTTGCCTACCGGGCACTTATACCCCCTTCTTTACCAGGCCAATTTTCAGCTTTCAGTGCTGTCGCACTTTGACAATTGCGCGGTCATGCAAGATTGTACCCATATGACATTTTTATCATTTTTTTTCTCACAAATAGAGCTTTGTTTTGGTGGCATTTAATCGCCGTTAGGCACTTTACTTTTTGTGCTATAAACAAAAAAAGTGCAAAAAATGTGAAAAAAAAAAGTTTCTTTGTTTCTAATATAAAATTTTTCAAACAGGTAATTTTTCTCCTTCACTGATGTGCGTTGATGAGGCTGCACTGATGGGCACTAATAGGTGGCACTGATAGGCAGCACCGATGGGCACTGATAGACGGCACTAATGAGGTGGCACGGATAGGCGGCACTGATAGGCAGCACTAATGAGGTGGCACGGATAGGCTGCACTGATAGGTGGCAGTGATAGACAGCACTGATAGGTGGCACTGACTGGCAGCACTGATGGGCACTGACTGGCACAACTGCTGGGCACTGACTGGCACAACCACTGGGCACTGACTGGTGGCACTGACTGGCAGCACTGATGGGCACTGGTGGGCACAGGGGGTGGCACTGGTGGGCATAGGTGGGTGGCACTACTGGGCACAGGTAGGTGGCACTTCTGAGCTCAGGTGTGTGGCACTGCTGGGTGGCACAGGTGGGCGCACTGCTGGGCACAGGTGGGCGCACTGCTAGGCACAAGTGGGTGCACTGCTGGGCACAGGTGGGCGGCACTGCTGGGCACAGGTGAGCGGAACTGGTGGGTGGCACTGCTGGGCACCGATCATCAGAGCCCTGAACATCAGTGCCCTGATGATCGGTGCCGATCCCTGCTCTGACAACTGCCGGTTCTCGGCAGTACTTTCCTCACGCTCTGACAGAGTGAGGAAAGTTCAGCCGAGAACCGGCAATTGCATTTCCCGGTAATCAGCGTGTCATTGGACACAGCTGATCACGTGGTAAAAGGTTGTTGCCGTAGGACACAGCGATCACAGAGATCGCTGGGTGCGCGCCCCTGGGGGCGCGCAGGAGAGCGCGTTCTGGGAGGACGTCATATGACGCCCTCCCAGAACTGGCCGGCCACAGTGTAGCCGTCATTCAGCTATCTGCGGTCGGCAAGTGGTTAAGGCATACAATGCCCCCCATTCACTCTGTGTAGCATACTTCGGACTGGCAGCGCACCTTACCTCATAGAAATAGGATGTGGCCCTTTATTTGTAATGCAGCACATGGGATGTTTATTGTGGTTTGTCGCAGTGTTGTTACCTTGCTCACTACTGTAGGGCATTGGGGTGCTGTTCAAAATGCATTGCACAACGACACCCTGTGGTTTTCAAAATGCATACATGTGAATGGGCCGAAACAAAAACATATTTTAGTAAAGTGAGGAGGGTTAGAACTTCTGTGAATGTGTTTATTGTTGTCTGTGCCTTCCTGCCCCTGTGACACTCACTGCCTCCATTTCTTGTACAGAGGTCACAAGAACAGGAAGTGAAGGAAAATCTCCACAACAGAGTCACATACATAGGAGAAACCTGACAGAATATTTACCTTATTGACACTTATGTGTTAATAAGCTTTTGGATATAGCTACATGTAATGCTATTTCTATATAATCTTCAGGTTATTTATATTTTTTATTTATAGGTTTATATATTTTTATATCATGTGCCATATTACGAAGTGTATTCAGAAAGTGAAAGTTTGTTTATTTTTTTCCATCCCTTCTATTGTTTTTATCATTTCCTTTTGGTATTACTGTGTTAATAGAGGTTCATGAATAGCTTTCCTTTAAGTACATTTTCATAGCCCGAGGACACAGGCTTGCATGAAAATACCTCAGCTTACCTCAGCACGCTGTGTGCCTGGAAGTGAGGAATCCAGGAGCCACTCCCTGCAATTCACCCGATTACCTCACATCTTCTCCACACCGCATTTCTCCTTGTACACCCAGCATGACACACGGCCTGATATCCTGCCCGCCTGGGGTGCTTGTCTGCTGCCTGCGTGCACATTATTTTTCTGTTATTGTTTATTATATTCAGATGTTATTTCATCAGGAAATGACATTGTATTTCATGATTCAACAAATGTATAAACCGAGATGTTAGAGGTTAGGTGATATAATGTATACCATATTGCCTAAATTTGGGAGGTGACTACCCTTTACTGGTCGGAGGTTATGTGGACATGTGCTCGGCCTATAATTAGCAGGAAGGTTTCACTGACTCGGACAAGTGGATTCTAAATTTGAACAATAGATTCCGGCAAAGTGTATGCTTAGTCTTTGTGAGACGATTGGTCATATTAAACAAAAGCCTCTAATGGTTGCTGTTTCAATGTCCCCATCCTCCACACATCCATCAAGGCTAGCACAGCCGCATCATTGGGGGGGAAACTGATTTTTGAAGAATATATATGTGACATTTCTGGAATGTTAGAATGGAATTTCAGCTAGGTTGGTTGGAAATAAAAGCAACCCATAGTCTGCATTTGAGGTACTGTATGCTTGTGAATGTGATCTGCGATCGTTAACAAACCCTTCCGGTTAAAGGATATCATGTAAGTGCATTTTTTCTTTGTACTTAACATTGCAGAACAATTCATAAGGTGACTTATAAATGGAGTAGATCACTATTATCCGTGATCTGAAGCAGAAGTGCAGGGGAGGATGGATCAAAGCTACCCACGCTTTCCCACCACCCTATAGCAGATCTACTGCTATAGGGCGGCAGGGGTGCGCAAAAGCGCGTATATATACGTGATTTTTGCATTTCCTGCTGCTTTGCATGGCAGAGCCATGCAAAGCAGTATGCTTACAGTTGAAAGCACTAACACAGCCCACAGTAAAACAGAACACCGCACACAGTTTACCCTTTGATCGCCCCACATGTTAACCCCTTCCTGCCCAGTGCCATTAGTACTGTGTCCGTGCTTTTTATTAGCACTGAAAACTGTATTGGTGTCACTGGGGATGTCAGTGACACCAAGTCAGTTCCCCGCAGTGTCAGAATGCCCGCCGCAGTCCTGCTATAAGTCTCTATAAGTTGCTGCCATTACTAATTTTATTTGGGTACAGCGCTGCATGACCATGCATTGTCAGTTAAAATAATGCAGTGCCGTAACGCAAAAAAATGGCCTGGTCAGAAGGGGGGTAAATCCTCTGGAGAGCAAGTATTACTAAACCTACAACAGTAAAATCAGTCTGTATATGATGTAAAGCGTGCTTGTTATACTCACTGTGGAACCTGTGCACATGCACATCCCCTACCCAGAAATGCTGGTCATGTACAGGTATGTTATCTGGCGCAGCAGGGCCACTCTGCCACAGTCTGCCACATTCTGCAGTAGGCGGTCTCTAATTGGCTACCCTGCCCTGATTTGGAACCCCCATAAAACAAAAAGTGTAAAATAATTGTTGGGATCCTTCGAGAGCCTGGAGTGGCTCTGTGACATCAGCTGGCATCAGGCTTTTTCATTTTTTTCAGAAAAGGTGAACTAATGCTTTAAGGATGTTTTACTATATTATTATTAATATTATTCATTTTTTTTACCATTTTTAGGATGTATGATTTGCTTGGGTCAGTCTACTTTTCTGAGATTTAATCACCCAGCTGAAGCTCACTGGATGAAAACTATGATTCCTTCAACTGGTAGAAGCCCTTCAGCAGCCCTGTACCCTGCTGGTAAGACCTCTACAAGATAGACAACTGTATTTGATCAGTGGTAGAACAAGAAAATGTTGAAAAATGGAACATTATGTGCCTGAGTACAGTAAATAAATTACTTGTGACCATGTAATAAAATAAGGTATGGCGCTAAACATAAATATTAGGTGAACAATATTCCAACTGTGATAGCAACATGTAAAAACCTAAAAGTGATATAAATGAATGAGTCCAAAGTCAAGAACAAAAACAAAAGTCCCATACCAGGTTTATAGATCAAAAACAATGGTGCATAATCTTCTGGTGCGAAACAAATTTCTCTATGAAGATCTTTTATACTCCACCACCATAACACAATATATTGCACTCACCAACCATCCATGACCTCTGGCTGGTGAGTGCAATATATTGTCTTATGCTGGTGGAGCACAAAGGATCTGCATGGAGCAATTTATTGTATTTTGTTTTTTTTCTTGACTTTGGATCATTAATACATATCACTTTTAGGTTTTTACATGTTTCTATCACAGTTGGAATATTGTTCACTTAATATATATGTTTAGCGCCATACCTTATTTTATTACATGGTCACAAATGAATTTCACTTCAAGGGGCAGCTAACAATTTTTGTATTATTTAAATTTTTGTTGGTACACTAAATGGTTGAGAATTATTTATATATTGTTGCATAGATGATACATTATTTGTGTAAGGCTGTATATATATCGCTTTTTTGCATGTAAAGAGAAGGCGGTTAGTTTCTCAGTAAACAGCAAATAAATTGTATGGATTAAGCAAATGAAAAACAAAATATAGGTAGATTGAAAATAATAATAGGGTGTAATGTGCTAATGCTGAATAAAGCAGACATTATTTGGGAAAACAATTTCAATTCAATTTAGAGATTTAGACATAATGACAAAGGGCCTCTGTACGGAAAACAATTATGGGCCCTTCTTCAGTTAATTCTAAAGTGCAAACACTTCTTCTCAATAGATAGCTAGATGCAGCTAAAGAGTAATTTTTTGATACCCTAAATTCTCATGGTCCATAACATGCACCCAGTGAAATATGACGAAATCTCCACTTTTTGCCCAAATGGTAACAAAAATAGATGGTCGAAGCATTCTGTATGTTTCTGTTGGTCAGGCAAGAAATGAAGGAGGGTCTTATTGCCTGACACCACTTGGAAGTTACAAACTGAGAGAATAGTTAGGGTATCTTGAAGAATGTTTCTTGTTTTTCACCTCTTTTTAAATTGTATGTGCACCCTTACCCTGCAAAACAAACCCATTCAGTTTACTATGAAAATGCAAGACAAAAAACTTGTGTATAAGAAATGGCCACTGCCCCAGTCTATAACTGGCCTTCACAGCAAGGAGCACATGGAAGGACGACACATGTCAAACAACAAAAGAGAAAAATTCCCAGCTCAACTTACCAAGCAGCTTGCAAACAAACCAAATTAACCTGTTTAACAGTATGCGTTAAAAACGGGTTAGTTAGCACACATTTTCAAACACATGCGTAAGCTGCAGAGCCGATATTCTGCAGTTCCTAATTCTACAAATTTTGTGAGCCCCCATAGTAGAGGCATGTGTATTTAATGGATAGACTGAGGGCAGGTGAACCCGAGGGAGCCCACCCCTCCATAAAGGTACAGGAGCGCACTGGACACCCAGCATATAGCACAATGGCAGCCAAGGTGTCTAGTGCGTCCCCTCCACAACAAGTCAACAGTACAAGAAATGGCCACTGCCCCAGTCTATAACTGGCCTTCACAGCAAGGAACACATGGAAGGGTGACGCATGTCAAACAATAAAAAGCTCCAAGAAGCAGGGTCCTCCTATCCCTCTTGTATTGAACTGTATTGTTGCTGTATTGTCTCCCGTTATATTGTAAAGCACTGAGCAAACTGTTGGCGCTGTATAAATCCTGTATAATAATAAAAAAAAAATAAAAGAATATCAGGGTGCTGTGAAGAGACTCTGCAGCTTACACATGCGTTTGCAAATGTGTAACTAAATCCCTAGTTTTAATGCATACTGTTAGACAGGCTAATTCGGTTTGTTTGCAAGCTGGTTGGTAAGATGAGCTAGGAATTTTTCTCTTTTATTGTCAGACATGCGTAGCCCTTCCATGTGCTCCTTGCTTTGAAGACCAGTTATAGACTGTGACTGGCCCAGGTATCATGTGATAGCTGTAGCCCAATCACAGCCAGTTATAGATGTGATCGCTGAGTGATCACATGATCACAATGTCAACAAATCTGTTATGAATTAATTAATTCATAACAGCTGTGTTGACTATG